GCCTCTAATCCCAGCACTCAGGAGACTGAGGCAAGAGGATCACTGCAAGTTCAGGGCCATCCTGGGTTACAAAGTGAACTCAAGGCCATCATGAATTTGTATAGTGAAATCCTGTCTCAAAACAAAAGTGAGGGGTGGGATGGAAGGAAACCAGCAGATAGCCCTCCAGTAGCGTAGGCAGGAGTTACAGGAACTTTGCGTTGAATGGTGATAGGAGAGGGAGGCATACGTGGAAGGCTTTGGGAACTGGTGATGATTAGCTGTTGGAGCAAAGGGAAGAGTCTAGGGTGATCCTGAATTTTTGACAAGTGCAGTGACATCAGTAGCGTTGCTGTTACCTGAAATAGGGGACAGGGAAAGAACTAGACATCAGGAAAAGATCATGGATTGCATTTGGGGTCCCACGAGACATCATCCAAGGGGAGACGTTTTGAGTAGATCCTTGAATGCATGGGTAAGACCAGGGAGTAGAGAACTGGATTTGAGATAGAGATCTGTGAGGTGTCTGCATTAGGAGTTAATTAAAGCAGTGAGCGTGGGTGAGGTCATTTAAAGAGGAACCACAGAGTGAGGACAGGATGCCTGGCACCCTGCCTCAAGAAATGCTTAATATCCCGGGAGAGGGAGGGCGAGAGCCAGAGACCCAAGAAGGACAAAGCAGAGAGCCAGGAAGGAGAGTTAGGGCAGTGGTGAGTCACAGATGACAAGTGAGGAACAATTTTAAAGGAGGGTGTAATCAACCCTAAATGCGGCCCAGAGCCCCCATGTAATGCAGATAGACAATTGTACTCGGCAGCCTAAGAGTAAGTCGCTGTGACTAAGCTGAGAAGTACCAGGTGTAGAGGCCGCACGGAGCAGGGCTGAGGACCAAATGAGGAAGGAGATGCAGGCTGTGGTGAAGATGGGCGGGAGCCAGGAGGGTGCTCACAGCATCCGCGGAGAGCCTTTCTGGGCTGGGCAGGGACAGTCCGGTGTGTTTCTGCACTGATAGGGAACAGTCGAGAGACGGGATTGGCCATATGAAGGTGAACTGGTAGAGTGAGGTCCAGAAAAAACAGCCCGGGCACAGGCTGCAGGAGCGTCCTGGTGGGGAGTATAATTCCGTGGGCGTTTTCACTGTAAAGTAGGAGATGTCTTCCAAAGGAATGGGGACTGAGCCCGAGTCCAAGGGCCATTCCACTCAGGAGTATGATTAATATGTCTCTACCTCCCCCATCGCTGTTATATATAATCAGCTTTATTGAGATAGAACTCACCATATAGTTCACCTGTTTTTTAAATTATTTAAATGTATTGCTGCATTTTAGGTAGACAGTGATCACATTCATTATAGGGGGTTTGTTCCTATATGTGATACAGCCTAATTCTTTTTACCATCCCCATCTTCCCCCCAACCCCTCTTCCTTATTTATTATAAAAGCTTTGCTTCCATTTTTACCTTCATTCTCATCTTTTTTTTTTTTCTTTTCCTCCCTTCCTCTTCCCCTTCCCACCCCTAGTTCCCCTTCCCATTTAAACATTTTCTTCCTGTTTTACTATACCTATTATACCTTTTGGTCTTTATTTACACTGTTGGTTTCTCATAGCAGGGAAATGATGCAATATTTACCCATATGTGTCTGATTTATTTCACTTAAGAGTGTGATCTCGGGGCTGGGGATTTAGCTCAGCGGCATAAGCATCTGCCTTGCAAGCAGGCAGTCATGAGTTCGATCCCTGGTACCAGGAAAAAGAAAAAAAAAAAAAAGAGTGTGATCTCGAGCTGCCTCCATTTACCTGGATTAGCCTTATACTCTGTCTGTGTGTGTGTGTGTAATTTTTTTTTCTTTTTTTTTTTGGTGTGGAGACTCAAACGCAGGACCTTGTACTTGCAGGCAGGAGCTATATCAGACACCATTTAATACAAAATATCTCATTCGTTCGTTCTTCATGACAGAGTAATACTCCATGGTATAAAAAATACATCTTTATCCATTCGTCAGTTGATGGGTGCTTAGGCTGTTTCTGAGACTTAGCTGTTACAAACTGTGCTGCTGTAAACATAGATGTGCTGTATCACTGGTATGATGTTTTAATTCTTTGAGGAAGATACCAAGGAGAGGATTTGCTGTCATAGCTCATCTATTTAAAATGTACAATTCCATGGTTTTTAACTTACTCATAAATATGTATCATCACAACCACAGTCAATTTTAGAACATTCATGCCCTCAAATAGAAACCTGTGTGCTTCAGCTCTCATATGTCTCCCTTCCTTCCAAACCATATGTTGCCAGAAGAGAGTGTGGAGTGTGTCTAAATTCAAATGTAAAATCACAATGAATTGAAAGAAAACTATTAACCAACTGGGGACTTAACTCAGTGACATAAGCGCCTGTCTGGCAAGAGCAGGGTCATGAGTTCAATCCCCAGTACCAAAAACAAACAAAACTATAACCGAAGAGTCGCTAGGAGCTTCAAAATGTTGGTCTAACCAGAAAAGCACAGGAGAGGAAGGCCGCTGCTGTAAACCAGCAGATGCCGTGCAGAGGAATCTGTCAAATGTCATGTTCTTCCCTCTCAGAGAATCCTCTAAAAGTAAAGTTGAATGAAATGGAATGAGAAAATAACCTGTGTGAGTAGATTATGAATAACCTGTTGAGTATTGCTAAATGATTTTCTCTTGACCCAGAAAAATTGTAGTTTGTGTTGCTTACAAGTTGCTCCTAGGCTGATAAGCTGTTTTCAGAAATCTCCTGAGTGTTACAGAGACCTCTATAAAAGCAGCAACTGGCAGCTAGGAAAGGAAATACTCTGCTTAGCACTGATACTGAGTAGGTCACCACAGTGGAGTTACTTGATGAGGATTTGTAAATGTTCAGAAGTCATAGAAATCAGCATAGGCTTAGAGAAAAGCCGTACGAAATAAATTATATTTATTACATTTTCTTATGGTCAGGAAATAGGGAAGAAACTGTGTTTTGTTTTGGTTTTTGTTTATATTTTTGAGACAGAGTCTCACTATGTATAGTTCAGGCTGGCCTTGAACTAACTATGTAGCCTAGGTTGGCCTCGAACTCATGGCAGTTCTCCTGCCTCAGCCTCCTAAGTGCTAGAATTACAGGCGTGCTCCACCATACCCAGCTAGGAATAGTGTTTTTTTAAACCAGTATAGTTAACAGAAAGTTCTTTGAATGTTTTGGAAGAAGATGCATATATTAAGTGATCAAGCAGCCATTCCCAAACATTGTTACTAGATCATTATTGAAAAAAGCACTACCATTCAAAGCCATGAAAGTACCCTCGATTGTCGTTCTGTCCTTGTCAGCATGGACAAGTGCTTGGTCTGTGCTTGAGGCAGGCAGTGGAAGCGCACCCAGCAGACAGCCCTGATGATACCACTGTGTCTGCTATCCTGGACGTCCTTCAGAGTACAGAAGCACTGCCACAGCCTCAAATGGCAGACTATGACAGGATGGTGTTCCCCGTGAGAAGAGCCAGTGCTTTCCAGTCTAGGGCACTTGGAAGATTCCTGAGTCAGTTATGAAATAGAATTGCCAGAATTCTTCAAGGTCACTTAACATTCTTAAAGGTACATTCACATTGGTATAGGCAGGTGGTGGCCCGGGGGTTTTCAGGATCATCCTCTCCAAATAAGATTGGAACATTAGACCTGCCTTTCTTAGAATAGTAATTAGAGAAACTCAGAGAAGGTTTTCTGGAAAAGGTGACAATTCAGGGAAGACAGGCAAGCTGCTTCAAATTAAAGCCTGTGTGTGGAGGAGAAGTGAAAATACTGCGTGATCTGCAGAGCAAACCCATAGCCAGCACACACCGGTGAGGCAATGTTTGTCTCCTTATAAAACTGTTCAGCAGCTATCTGATCTGAAATCTGGCAACTCTGCATTACTGGATGATGGAGATATTCAAGATGAAGTAATGTGATCATTTGGTATGAAGGTGAGACGGTTGTGAAACAGAGTACCATTTATGCTTCTAAGTACTGCTCCTGCCAGTCTGTGAATCTCTGCTAATTTATCTCTCAGGTATATTTCAGGTTGTAAGTGCTTTGTTTTAAATAGACTTTTCCTGCCTTTTTAAACTGCCAATTCACTTTTAAAGACTTTTTTAAATAATAGGGGAAAGTATTTTCTGATTACTCACATTACCATCCCATTTTCTTTGTTTGTGTACAAGTCTGCACAGAAGACTTACCCTTTGCATAGTATAAGTCTACTGGTGATAAAATCTTTCATCTTGTGTGTATCTCAAAAGTCATTTGTTTTTGAAAGATACTTGCACAGAGTATAAAATTCTAAGATGACAGTTTATTTCATTGCATGTTTTTTCAGTCGTTTAGCAGTCTTTTTCTACTGTCTTTGTGACTCGCATCATTTCTGTTAAGAAATCCGTTGTCATTCTTTGTCCATGTTTTATTCCCTTGGCTGTTCGTAAGACTTTAACATTGAATTGCTGCAGTTTGACTGTTCATTACGTCGGTGTAGCCTTTTTTTCTTGCACTTGGGATTTTTCAACTTTCTAGCAGTATTACAGTTTTTGTTACAGTTAGATATTGTTTTCAGTGATTATGTTTTGGAATATTTTGTCTGCACACCTGCCTGCTTCAGGGATTGCAGTTAAACAAATGTGATTGCTTAAAGTCACCTCATAGGGGCTGGGGATTTAGCTCAGCAGTATAAGCACCTGCCTTGCAAGCAGGCGGTCGTGAGTTCGATCCCTGGTACCGATAAAAATGAAAAAGACAAAAAAATAAAAAATAAAGTCACCTCATAGGTCTACTCCCCCAGCCTGTGTTTCATTTTGCATAGTTTTTACTGCTGTTTGTGTATTAACCTTTTCTTCTGCAGTATCTAATCTGTCAGTCCCACCTATTGTAATTTTTAATCCCATTATTTTTCTAGAACATATTGAATGTAGTCATAGTAACGTTAAATCCATGTTTATTCTGCTTTAAAATGGATTGTTTTTCTTTTCTTTCCCAACCTCTCCCACCAAAACCAGGCTACAGAAGAAGTTTCCAAAAACCTGGTTGCCATGAAAGAAATTTTATATGGCACAAATGAGAAAGAGCCACAAACAGAAGCAGTGGCCCAGCTTGCTCAAGAATTGTATAACAGTGGGCTCCTTAGCACCCTGGTAGCTGATTTGCAGCTCATTGACTTTGAGGTAAGGTATCATTTATTAATTTTCTAAAACAGTACCCATTCCTAATCCTTCCCCATATGTTCTCTGTTGAATCTTAAGATCCCTGTTGGGCTTTCAGCCCAGGGGTTCTTGACCTATGAGCATGCCTGTGTGCCCTGCCTCATTAGCAGAGCCAAGGCAGGACCCAGGGTTTCTTGGGCCTCAGCCACATTATACATGCAGTTTCTTGGTATTGGACAAGCCTTTTATTTAGGTTGTAGAGTGTTGTAAATACTTTATACTTTATAAAGCAGTATAGTGGCTTACATAATTCACTAGAGCTTAGCTCTCAGGGAGTGAACAATCTCAAGAAAACTATAGAATGTTAGAGTTTTAAAGATGGAAAAGATCTTAATGAAAAGTTCATTGTAGCAGAGATCATGTGGTTTATTTACTTCATGCTGATTTTAAATTTTTAAATTAGTACAATATTTAAGGAGCAGATTTTACTCACAGCTCAGTTTCTTAGCATCTCTTGGAAAATTCATCTGTCAGTGTTGGGCCTGCAGTCCTGCTTGGTCCGGTCCTTCAGCTGGAGCACAGCAGCTACCCAGCATCCTAATACAGCTCAGCTTGCTGTACCTGTTAGCACCTTCTGCCCAGCCCTGGTAGGCATTGAGATTGTTACCCAAGCTTATGCAGCTAGATCGTGCCATGTTAAATATTTAATGAATTTAATAGTGCAAATAATGCTCCTCGATTCTAGTCAGAATAAACTAGTTGAGAAGAACGTAAGATAATAAAGCCCGCTTGTATAGTCACAGGCAGTTTCCGCTTTCACTTGATTGGCTGTCCATGTGGGTAAATATTCTAGGGGGAAAAATGACAAAAAGCAAATAAAATTTCAGAGAAGGATGAGAAGGTGTAATTCTTAGACTACTTGGATAACAGTGATAATAGAAGAAAATAAATATTTTTTCTGCTATAGAGCAGATAGAACTATTTCCATTCATATAGCTGCTTTCATATAGTATTTTTAACAGTATTAAATTCCAACAAAACTTTTTATTTCCTCTGTAAAGTTGGTGATATGTTGGAACATGTAGCTCCTTCTTCTTTGTCATCCCCCATCCCTATCTGTTAACAGGACACTGAATTTAATATTCATTTGAGACTTTAGAGACACCAGTTGATGTTGATAGAAAGTGTGTGTGTGCCATTAGGACCGGTCAGGAATGGCATATAAGGGTTGCCCTTGCTACACCTGAACTAGGCACAGACCAATAGATGGTCTCTGCATTGAGGGAGGCTGGAAAGCTAGCATACTGCTACTGGCTGAGAACTTCTCAGCCTTGGCACAGGGACCATTCTGAAACACCTCTTGGGTCCAGTTCTCCATTTATTAATCTCTTGGGCAGTTTTGTGAAATTCTCAGATGGTGGTAACGTCCATCTACTTTGTACAAGGCTCTAATCTCTGAACTACTGAACCATGTGCTACTTAGTCCTTCATTATTAATCAGTTTGAAACATCTACTTAGAATCAAAGCTGAGTTCAGCTTCTTGGCCTGGGGATGTGGTTTAGTGGCACAGCCACCTACCTGGCAAGCTCAGGATCATGATCCCTGGTATTAAAAAAAACTCCTTACACACGTTCTTTCATTTTGTTATACTGGTAAAGTATTAATTCCTTAACTATAAAAAAAACTCCCTTGTTTGTAGCACAAATATTCCATCTGAAGCTTTTTCCACTTGAGTGAGATCTAGAGCCCTATAGATTGTTAGCAAATGGCAACATTTTATTTTCCATATCTGAGTCAGTATGATTCTATGTGTAAGAAATGATGGAAATGACATGTGGGAAATAAGGAGATTTACTGTGTCAACATTTTTCATATTAAAAATAGTGTACTATTACAGTTTAAAATTTAGAACTATAAAAAGATAAAAACAAGAAAATTTAATGTCTATGAAGATTTTAAAGTTAGATATTCAGTCATAACTATAAATATAAGCTGGGCATAGTGGCACACGCCTATAATCCCAGCACTTGGGAGGCTGAGGCAGGATGCTCATTGCAAGTTCCAGACCAGCCTGGGCTACAGCGTGAGCTCAAGGCCAGCCTGAACCTCATAGTAAGCTCTGTCTCAGAAGAAAAAAAAAAAAACTATAAATATAAAATGGTTTTCTTCAGTTCATTTGGGAGGGTAGGTGGGCGTTCTCTGTTTAGTCAGGTAAATATTTTAATGATTGTATTCCTAATAGGGCAAAAAAGACGTGGCTCAAATTTTCAACAATATCCTCAGAAGACAAATTGGTACAAGAACTCCTACTGTTGAATACATCTGCACCCAACAGAATATTTTGTTCATGTTATTGAAAGGGTATGTACAATGTAATAAAATTTATATTCTTAGATAAAAATAAAAAGGAAAGATTGCCTTGGTAAAACAAGAATGATAAATGTGGGAAGCATTTTAATCAGCTCATTTTTCCATAGGTCTTGAGCATATTTCATTCCTTAAAATCCAACCCATAGGCAGGCATGGTGGCACACGTCTATAACCCAATCCTTGGGAAACTGAGGCCAGAGGATCACTGCAAATTCGAGGCCAGCCTGAACTACATATTGAGACCCTGTCTCAAGGGGGGAAAAAATCCAATCTGTATGCAAAATTGAATATAAAATTGCCCTATAGTTTAGGGTAAATTATGAGCCTTTACATTTACAAATCAAACATGGCTGAAGTACTCAGTGGTCTTATATATATTTAATTCAACAAACCAGAGTTGAGTGTTGTTGAAATATCAGCCAAGTCCCATACTTGGGTACATCTCCTCTGCACCTGACCTGTGTCCTGGAGCAGCAGAAGCCACCTGGACATGGAATGTGGGTGCGTGAGACTCACTTCGTTTGGTCAGCAGAGCCCACATTGCACGATGGGGCCCTGTGAGTTCCACCTCTGCACTCACTCCATAGCCCGCTTAATTTGGTAATTCACAGTGCTTCGTCCTATAGTTACTGCCAGACTATGCAGCCATTTGTGATTGGCTAGTCTGTCAGTGCAAAAAAACAAAAAACTAAAAACTGAAACTGAAGAAACAAAAATTAGATCCTGTTCTGCGCCAGCACAGAGCCTCCCCGAGCAGCAGAGTGCCTCCTGTTGTTGGGCAACCAGAGTTGTCTGCCGGCTCGAGGTGCGCTGTGCCTCTTTCTACCCCAGTGCCAACAGGGTTGTGGGCTGGTGGGCAAGTGAGTTGCCGGCATGACAGGTGGCATGAACCAGCCTGCTTTCCTCCCGGCAGGTTTGCAGCTCACATCACTCTGATTCCCATCTCTCTAGCTTGACACTTGCCCCAGGTTCAAACTTGTTTAGACCAAGTGTGAGTCAGTAGATGGGTGCCTGCCAGCATTCCATTTCCTCCTTTCTATTCTGATCGTCCATGCTGCCTCTTCACATGCTGCCGTGCACATCTAATTTAGACCAATCCACTGTAGCTGTGTAAACATATAATGGATTGGTTGGAACTTTGGTCTTCTTACCAGTTAGCTTTGTGGTTTTTTAATGTCAGTATTTTGTTTTCCATGGAAACCAGTGGTTATTATGATCCATAAGCCAGTTCGCTCTACCTGTGACTTCATAGTAGCCAGAAAATAAACATTGCTAGTCATAGTATAAAGTAAGACATTTGAGATGCAGTTTAAAGTTAAAACTTCCATGAGAGCTAGCCAGAGTGGAAATCTCAGCCAGGTGGGGAGGGAGGAGAAGCATGGAGAATAAACACCTTGGGGTAATAAATACACCCCATTCCCTCTGGCCCCTCAGCCTTCATTGTAGGAACTGTGCACATAACATCAGACCAGCACAGTGTGCTCTTTCTCCCCGTAACTCCACCTCAGCAGTCACTGACTGTGAAGCGCAGAACCTGACACACACAATGTGGAGGAGGAGGAATTCATGTTTGGCTCATGGTTTCCCGTGGGTTCAGTCCAGAATCAGCCAGCTCTTAAGGCAGTGGAAGGGCCAACGGAGGACAGCTCAGGATCAGTTACCTTCCACCCATGTGCAGCTTTGGGTGCCATTTTAAATTTGAACCACAACACTGCTGTTCTGCCGTTCCTGCTCACTCTCATCCTTGCCTCCTTCCTCCTCTCACACCTGATTTGATGTCAGTGTGTATCCCTCGCCTGTGATCCATAACACGGTGTGTGACATTGTAATGCCTTTTTATAAGCCTAACCAGTTGTAACAAAATTTTCGAATTTCCTGTTGTAACAAAAATGAGGCTTTATGGTTACTTAGTTTCAAATCAGTTTCTAAACAAGGTCCATAAACTGAATTTGATTGACTAGACTCATCATTCTGTTAATGTATAATGATTGATGCCTCTTTTTGGTTTTTTAATTTGCACCACTTATTTATTGAAGCAGCTGGGTCATTTATTGTATAGAAAAATCATATTTGCATTCATGTGGTTATGTTCATCTAAATTTGCCTCTATATCCTAAGGGTTTGATTGCATTCAAATTCACTTTGAGGCAGGCATGAACTATTCAAAGATGACGCATTGAGGCTGGGTGTGGTGGCTCACGCCTGTAATCCCAACACCTGAGAGGCTGAAGCCGGAGGATCGTTGCAAGTTTGAGACCAGCCTGGGCTGCAAAATGAGTTCAAGGCCAGCTCAAACTGCAGAGCAAGACCCTGTCTCCCCAAAAAAAGATGATGTAATATATTTGCTGTTAGGTAGCACTGATTGTCCACTTGGGTTGATGTTACATTGTTGTCAGTCTGGACTCTGTCTAGTAGTTCGAAGTTTTCCACTGACTTTTTCACTTAAATGTATTCATTGAGAATGTTACCTAGATTTATAGTGAAAGTTTCCTGTTTCTGTTACTGTTTCTCCATTCAGTGTGTTCCTTCTATAAAGAAAAGCCTGTTAATTAGTTTGATGATCTGCCCATGTCCTTAAGTGACTGTTGAGTATTTTGTTTTTGTTTTGGGTTGTTGTTGTTGTTTGGTTGGTTGGTTGGTTGTTCGTTGTGGGTCCTGAACTCAGGATCTCACACCTGCCAGAAGAAAAAAAGGAAATACACTGGCTATGTTTCAGTCCTCTGCAATCATTACTTCTTTATGTCCACATTGTCCCGTGTTAGGCCATTGGGAGCGCCCTCAGGCTGGCTCCCTGTCCTGGTAAGAAAGTTGGTTAGAGCTTCCTTGCTTTTTGCACAGGATGACTACCCTGGTCATTTTATAGGGTTCCTGCCAAAACTGGAAACAGCTATTTATTTATTTTATGAGTTTTGTGAACTACTTTTTAAGATTTTTGTATTTCAGTTAATTAGTTTAGACTACAATGTAATTGTCTTATTAGGTTGTAAGAACTTGGATGTTGGATATCAGAGGAGAGTTTTGCTGTGCTAGTAGTGGTGTGCATTTCACATCTTTACTGCTAGCATTGGGCTGAGTTTTGAGGCACTGATTTTTTTACTGGCAATTTAAAAGTTAATGTACTCTCCAGTCGAGTGCTAACAAGTTGTACAGCATAACTGTTTACCATGTACTCTCTGGTTTAATCATTTAAACAGACCTGATAAACTTTCATCAAAACCTGCCCAACTCATTGTACCAAACTCTTATCCTTGTCCCTTGTGTCGCCTGCTTATCCAAGATAAGCAGAAATGAATTGTGATCACCCGTTTGTGGGCAGACATCTTAATCGAGAGCCAGGCAGGACTCTCCCTCACCCCTCATTGATGCAGATCTGTGAGGGATGGACAGACAACAGAAAGATAACACTGTTAGTTAGCAAATTAGTGCTGTAGGAGTTGAGAGGATAAAGACAAGTTTGATTAATAAAGTAAAGGTTGGTAAAAGGAATGGAACTTAAGCTTGAAGATCCAGATGGTTTAGGATTTTCATAGGCACAAAAAAGAAAGGAAGCATCCGAAGAATGAATGACTAAGAGCAAAGGTCCAGAGGCAGGAGTGAACGCATGTGACAGGCAGCAAAAAAGAAATATAAGCAGTAGGTTAACAGCGGGGAGCTTTACGGTAGGACTGGGAGATGGCCTTGTACCAGAGAGAGAGATCCACTGAGAGGAGACGCCACATTAACAACCCAGAAGTCCTGTCTTTTGTTTGATTGGCAAGAAACAATTTTAAGTTTATAAGTAGGAATGTTTTCAGTATGCTTGTGTGTTGGGTAGATTGCTTAGGACAGAAGATGTGAAGAAGGGGTGGTTTGGAGCTGTGCTGCCCAGCACAGTAGTTCCTTAGTCGAATGTTGGTGATTTGATTTTGAGGTAATTTAGATTAATTAACATTTAAAGTCAGTCCCATGGTCACTCCAGGCAGATTTCAAGTGCTCGGTAGGCACACAGGGATGGTAACTACCATAATGAATGTATTTCCACCATTCTAGAAAGTTCGATCAGACCTGCTTTACACCTGCGTATCCAAAACAAAATAATGATGCCAAATTGCAGAAATGAGGAAGCAAGGGCCTGGAATGGGTGTTCTGTGCTGGGAAATGATGTTGTATTTTTGACTTGTGAACTTATGGTAGATATTTAACTGAAGCTGCCCCGAGGCAGCAGAAAATGTGTAACTGCAGTCCAGATGTAGGCTTGGAAGAAAGTAGGGTAGTCACGATGAGAACCTTGAGATTTTATGGGCTTTCTTACAGGTTGGCAGCAAGAAGTGAAGACCTCAGCCAAACAACAAATAGATACAGTGAGAAGAATAGAAAAAGAACTGGGAGAATTCTTGCCTGTTCTTAAGAAAAATGTGCAGAGATCATCACTGTAGAATCCTAAGTAAAAGGATGTTTGTTATCAGATGAGACTGCTCGTTTTCATCAAGAGGAAGTCTTTGCTGGCCAATTAGTTATTTTATTGGAGTGTCGGGAGGTGGAACTTGACTGTAAGAAACCACAAGAGCCTGTGCATAGTCGGCCAAGCGGTCCAGGGAGAGCTTGGTGCACTTGGAAAGCAAAGGCTCCCTGCCCAGCCCAAGGGTTTTCTTTAGCAGCACAGGAATGGCAGAGGTGACAGAGCCAGCTGAGGTTGGGGCGCTGTGTGTGGAGAGTACCCATCATGGCATTGACGCCGGGTCTCTCCCTGCATGCTTGGTGGCCTCGTGGCTCTGTGGTAGAGGCATTTTGTGAAAATGCAGGGCGAGGCTGTCCCCTTCATACTGCTGCATGTTACTAAGAATCTGAAAGCACTGTTTTGAGTGTTGCATTGAAAGAAAATATAAATTCTATATATTTGATAGTTCTATTTAAATACTGTGCATTTCTGAATTTGAAAAGTTAATTTCATCTTCTACTGTTTTTTGATTCAGCCCTTGTTTCTTCTGGGTATGGAGAGCCCAAATGGAACCTTGTGACCCTGAATACATTCTTCTATAACTTTTCAAAGCGTAAACAGTGAACTTCTGTTCACATGGTCACTCTCAGGACTTTTTCCTCTACTGATGGCCTTGTCCCCAGCCAGTGTGTGAGCTCTTGAGCTCTGGGTCCTGGCTATGCTTGGAGAGATGCTCCTGTTGGAACCTGCTGTGGTCTCTTAGTTCAAAACCCATGTCTGAAGCTTCCTGTTCTCAGTTTAAAATGTTCACTCCTGGAGTTCTGAGAGAGCAATCCTATCTGTTGTTGTTTGTGTTTGTTTTTACAGGTATGAATCTCCAGAAATAGCTCTAAATTGTGGAATAATGTTAAGAGAATGCATCAGACATGAACCTCTGGCAAAAATCATTTTGTGGTCAGAACAGTTTTATGATTTCTTCAGATATGTTGAAATGTCAACATTTGACATAGCTTCAGATGCATTTGCCACATTCAAGGTAACGTAAAAACTAATCTTCTCTGCCCTTGTGAACTACACACAGCTGTCCTCTGGTGGGAAGGGATAAAATGTATTTTATATGTGTTGGTATGATTTAGATTTTTGCAAAAAAGTTAGTTTTAGAGGGTGGAAATGTTAGATTTGAAGTCTGTCAAAAAGGCAGAAGTTGAAGTGTGGTATTTCAGTTGTTATTTCCTGCTTCCTGTCATCTATCTTCATTGCCTTATTGTGGATTTCTGCAAACTAAATACACATGGGGGACTGGAGATGTGGTTCACGGGCAGAGCGCTTACCTTGCTTCACAAGGCTCAAGGTTTAATCCCCAGCACTGCCAAAAAAGAAAGAAAGAAAGGTAGGTAGGCAGGTACATACGCTATGAAACCACTGTACAACCTACAGATTATCATGGCAATTATAAGGTTCTGTGCTGTTTACAGTACATAATAAAGCAGTAATCTTGCCTTTGTTTTTCCACCAATAAAAGCCCTAGAAGTGTTGTAGTTTTACCAGGATTTAGTACACTTACATGTGGGCCACCTTGCCCAGAGCGTGAGTGCTGTCGCAGTGAGAAACAGTCCTTAGCGCTGCCTGCGAAGAGCAGCAAAGTAACTGGCATGCACCCTAGGCTCTGCATGAGACGTGGGCCTGAAGGGCATATGGATGCCTGCCGGCCAAAGGAGGCCTGGGGCCCGGTCCTGGTGGTTCACAGAAAAGGAGAATAAGGCCATAGTTGAAAGGTGTCCCGAAAGTCATTTCTTAAAATGCGAAAGAGGAGGCTGGGGATTTAGCTCAGCGGCATAACCACCTGCCTTGCAAGCAGGCAGTCATGAGTTCAATCCCTGGTACCGATAAAAAGTTTAAAAAAAAAAAAAGAGCAAACTGTGAAAGAAAATGCCAGAAGCTATAGGTAAGACTTCAGTGTACAGAGCAAAACGAAGTGAGTTGAAGAGTATAGCACTGGGTGGTCACTGTTGTGTTGTGTCTTTGGTGTCCCCGCAGGATTGGGCGAGGACCTGTGAGTAGAAGGCACCTATAGTAGAGAGCGCCCCGCTCAGGAGCAGCAGCCCAGCATGCAGGAGGCACAGTGACACCTTGTGTTAGGGAGACAGTGCCCTGCGTGGAAGGACAGCCAGGAGCCCAAGAGTGGCAGCACTCTGGGCAGGCAGCTGCAGGAAGAGGAGGAGGAGCAGCAGTGGTGTGGGAGAGGGAGATGGAGCCAGCCCCCGACCCCGTGGAGGATGAGCTCCTGGCACAGCTGGCCAGCCTGGCTCCCCATGATGTGCTAGCTGCACACTGGAAATGCAGTATTAGACAGAGTCCTGATGGGCTTGTGATGACTTCATCCCAATTAAGGCTGCATCTCTCAGCAAACTCTTAACCAGGGAGAGAACGGTGCTGATAGAATCCCTGTGAGTAACGAGGTCCTGTCACGTTGGTAGCCCCAAAAAACGCACGAGGCAGAGCCAGACAGGCAGCCTCCAGTTGGAAAAGGGGAATTTCAAAAAGCAGTTTAGGATTCCGAGGCTGAGCTCTAGCAGAGGGTCAGAAGCTGGACTGGCTTCTGTATCTCAGGTACACCCTAGCACACAAGCAGAGCTCTCTCCAAGAAACACCCCGCCAAGAGTGTATAGCAAGGCTCAGACCTGCCAGGCACGCACGCATGGCCACACCTCTCTGCGTGAGACTCCGGGTAGAGCAGGCCCAACTTGGCAACTCTACCTCACTGCCAGCAGAAAGGGGAGGGAAAGCCTATGTCCTGCTATAGCTTGCAGAGGACAGCTTTCCAGTGAGGGGCACAGCAGCTCTGCCTCCCACCCCGTGAGGATGCACAGGGGCTTCCTCCTCAGAGAGCACCTGACACACAGCAGTTTTCAAATGTGTGTCCATCTACCGCGCTGGCTGCGGAATCCCTGGAACATGTGCTGAGTCTAAAGGAAGATAAAATTATCTGCTCTAAATGTGTCTAGGATGCATAGCTTGAGTAATAGACACTGAAATAGTAAAACCAGATGGCCAAGTGTTTGTTACTGAGTTTTGTTTTGGTTTGTTTTGTGGAATTCAGGAAATGGGGAGGGCATTAGAAGGCAAACAAATATATTTTCCAGAATAAAAAAGGTAGGTTCCCCAGAGAGGCTGGTGGAGCTTGGAGCTGTATAAGGTTCTAAAAGTATCTAAAGAGACAATCTCTAAGTGTTTTGGAAAGGAAACCGTGTACCCACAGCCAGTATGGTTTCACTAAGAGGAAGCTCAGTCATACTCATCTCGCAGGTGCCTGTTTCAGATCAGCTCTGTTGTGGGTGTGACTGGCCCTTGCCTCCTGTGAAGATGTAATATTACAGTGCATGTGCAGCGTGCATGTCTCTATTAGACAGTTCTTTCATGACAGTGAAGGCACACTAGGTACTGAATGATTCTGTAGGTCTAGAACCAGTAAGGAGATAGGTGGAGACAACTCACTGTGTGTCATACTATTGTGTTGGCAAATGGATTGTCATCTCTGGGTACAAGTTTCGAGCAGATTTGCACTGGCCCTTATTCCTCTGGTCCTGTCAGCACTTTTATTAATGAGCGAAGGGGACAAGGCATGCTTACCTGGTATGTAGGTGTGGCTATGTAGGGAAAGAAAGTGGTAACAGCAGATCCTAAGAATTCAAGGCCAGCTTGAACTACACAAGACCGTGTCTCAAAGAAAAAAAGAAAAAAGGATCGTAAATTCATAAAAGTTCAGCAAGGCCAGGATGGAACAGGATGAAACTTATTGATAACGGACCCAACTGTATAAATAAGAGTTGAGGAGCTGGGTGTGGCAGCACAGGCCTGTAATCCCAGCACTCAGGCTAAGGCAAGAGGTTCTGCTAAGTGTAATACTTACCGGTGTATAATTAATTCACTGTCACACGCTACCCTGTGAGGAGGTGTCATCCCCCTTACAATGAGGAAACCAAACCCAAAGATGCAGCCTCAAGTCAGACAGCGAACAGGGAAACTTCACCTGCCCCAGGCAGACTGACCACAGAGCCCCCTGAGGAATAGGGTTCTGAATTGTCCAGTAGAATTCTGCTCCCTGCAACCACAGCATGCAGAAGCAAGTGGATGGTCGCACCCCACTGCACGTTTGCAGGATAACAACACATAGAAGTGCTCCTTTCAAAGGCTGTGCCTTAAGAGGCACAGGGACAAGTTGATAGTTTTCCAGTAGATAATAGGTGGTGAGGGGGACTCAACCCTGTTGTGCCAGGATTGCTTAAAAGAGCTGACAGGTTTTAGCCTCGAGGAGAGAAGTCTTGCTTGGGACTTGCTCTGAGAATGCTATTTGTGTTTGGAGTGGGAACCTTGAAAAAATAAATCAGGTCCATTGTGTCAGCTCCAACGATTTCTGAACATAACTCGGGGTAGATTTTTTTTTTTTTTAACTTGGGGTAGATTTTGACTAGCACAGAAGGAACTTTGTAAGCACTCCAAAGGTGAATTGCACAGGTGGAAGAATTGAATTCCTTGTCCTTGGATGTGACCGGGCACCAAGTAGGAAATTGGACTGGTGACTTGCCACAGCTCTGTGTAAGTAAACTCACCCTGCCAGGCCGTAGTGCGCCTTCACTACATCACAGGACCCGCTGTGATTTAGGGCCCAACTCAGACTTCTAGGGAGCTTTTTAATTAATCCCATCCTGAAAGTCAGCTGCTTATTCTGCTGGACTTAGGCCATGACCCCTGACCTTTCTCCAAGTTAATCAGAGGCCTGGAGATTCTAGAATTTAGATAGGTGAGCAGGTGGACAAAGGACTTTATTTCTTCCCTCTGCTGCACAGTTGCTCAAGTAGAGTCACACTATTCTGTAAACACGGCAAGTTGCTGGCCAGAAGTGACCCTTATCCTTCACTTTGTATTCTCCTGTCCCCTACCACTACCACCTGCACTTTGATCCTGCCAAAGCTGTTGGTCAGAGTCACCAAGTTTAAAGTTTGTTCTCATCTCCCAGTAGTTAGAGGCTTTGCGCATGGCCCCATTTCCTCCTTCCCAAATTAGTACTCGCTGTCCCCAAAAATAAGACTTAGCTGAAAAATAATCATTTTTAAAAACTAGAAATAAAAAATTCCAGTCCTGCCAGGCATGGTGGCGGCATGCTTGTAATCCCAGCATGCTGGAGCCTGAGGGAGGAGTTAAGGCCAGCCTGGGCCTCACAGTGAGACCCTGTCAAAAAAAGAAAAAACCAGTCCCGGTCAGCCCGTCCTGGCCTTGCCCACCATCACTGTTCTCTTCGCTCAGTGGCTGCTCTGAGGCAGGAAGGCAGGTGAGGAAGGAGAGCTGGCTGGGGCTGGCTTTTTTTTTTTTTTCAAGGCTGATAGGTTTTCTGGCCAGGTCTTATATGTGGGGAGAAGGCAGTGTCACACCCTGCCTGCATTTAGCACTTAGTTGTCCTTTCACTGCAAAAGTTATCCCCTACCCTGACCCTGGAAGTCTTAACAAAGGGCTTTTGTCCTGGGATGTGCGGGGCCCCAGCTCCCATACTGGCAGTTCTCACAGGTCCCTTTTTAAGCCCTCTACCTCAAGTCATTGAGACATCATTCCTAGGTGACAGGAGACAGGGAGACATTGGAGGTCCCGGGGCCCTGCTGTGCGTGGCCCAATGGTGAGCCTGGTGCTCCTCTTTCAGATGCAGCCTTCGGAGGGCGTGGTCCCTACTGCACACTGTCAGTACAGCGGTAACTAGTGCCCCACAGAGGGAGGAGACACTTTGTCCCTTCCATTCCCCAGACTGCAGGTTGGCTTGAGTGCCAGCATCCCTCAGGTCACCTCTGCCTTAGTATGTTCTTCAGGTTACTACAGGACAGTGAGCAAGGGGTTCCTCTGCTGTGCCTGTTCACACTGGGCTCCCGAATGAGTGAGCCGCAGAAAGGCAGAAATGACAGTCTTGCACAGACCCTGGCTCCTTACTCCCCTCTTCCTGTATTCACCTGGGTACTCCTCAGGTTCCTGGGTACTGTCCTTTCAGCACATACAGGGGGACACCTGCCTTAAACGAAGCAGGTGTCAAGTCAGGGTGGTAGGTGCCCCTTGGCCAGTGTGTGTCAGATGTCTCCTCTGAGGTCCTCTTGCCTCTCTTATTTGCTCTTGCCCTGTAGACCAGGGGACCAACAGAGATTGCCCCACCCAGGGAAGCCTCCTCACTGTCAGAGCAGTTCCTTGAGGTACGAGCAAGCTGGGCTGCAGGTTTATACCAAAGCTTTGAAGATAGCACTCTTCACTCATGAAGGGGACTCAACAAACTCCAGGTTGTCCAATTTTGCCTGTTTAATCCTCACAGAGGATTTAAGAAAAATTAAGTAGATCTCTATTGGGGAACACAGTTATTAATAACCCTCTCCAGCAAGTTTGGACAACCATAGACCTTTGGGGTGGGTTAGACGCTGTCTTAGAAGCCAGGGATTCAGCTTGGCGGCACAGATGCCTGCCTTGCAAGCACAGGGTCATCAGTTTGATTTCTGGTACCCAAAAATAAATAAAAACCCACCAAAACAAAAAACAAAATAAAACTTTTTTTAAAAAAGCATACTTTGAAGATTGCTTAATTGTTTGTCTTTCTTAACGTCTCTCAATTTTCTTGGCTCATTCACTGATTGACTGTTAAGCTCTTGATGTGTACAAAGCATTGCATAGGTTCTGGGGCCTCAGAGGTTAGTAAGTAGATCGCTGTGTGATGGGACTGATGGCCCAGTACAGAGAGACGTCAATCCGGGGTCCTGCGGCACGTGTGAGGTCACAGTTGAGACTAGTGCTTGCATTTGCTGACCATCAGGAAGAGTTTTCCGAGCAAGTGATTGCAGGCCGGAGTCTACAGGTTGAGTGGTAGGTAACTGGGAGATGAAACCTGGTGGAGAGGCCTGGAGGACGGAAGGGTGTGAACAGGTGGTAAGAGAGAGAGTGCTTGAGACCCGGTGGACTGTCACAACGGAACTGGAGCTGTGCCTTCACACTTGTGACTATGGGATATTTCCTTAAGGGTTGTTAGGCCCGGGAGCACACACCAGCTACTTTAGGAAACACCAGCTCATTGTGCCCCGGGCAGCATGCAGACGGAACAGAAAGAAGCAGCAGGGAAAGCTGGTGCAGGTGAAGGGCGGGTTGGCAGTAACCTGTCTAGAAGGTGGTACTGAAGAAACTTGGCTCTTGCTTCGCTGAGTGCAGCCAGCATTCTTGCTGCCATGGCCCCACCTTCTCCCACTTGGTGAGCACAAGGCTAGTCCATAGTGAACTTGTGGGTTCCTTAGGCAGAGATGGCATTTTTTTGTCTTTCAGACCCCTGCACCTAGAATTTTTCCTAGCACATAGTAGGTTATTTCGGATTGATCCTTGAGTTGCTTCGTAGGTTGAGGTGTAAGCTCGATTCAGTAGCAATGCACAGTTAGACTGTAGGTCACACAGATTTGTTCTGCATTTTTGCAGTATTCTGCTTTCTTCAGAGCTAATGTATATAAAATGATGGCACTTTATAAAACATTTCTGAAAAAATGACTTAGGTTTGAAATGAAGTAATTGAATCTAGGAGGAAAAGGATAGAACTTTCAGTGTCTTTTTTTTTTTTTGGTGTGGTGTTGTGGTTTGAGTTTGAGTTTTTGAGACAGGGTCTCGCTGTGCTGTTCAGGCTGGCCTTGAATTCAGTATGTAGCCCAGACTAGCCTCAGAGTCACAGCAGTCTTCCTGTCTCAACTTTTCGAGTGCTGGGATTACAGGTGTGCTCTACCTTTTCTAATAAAAGAAATTTCTTCTTTTACCACTAGGAGCTCTTAATGGGCTTTTATTTGATATTTTATTTGAATTTTATTTAATATTTTATGGCAGCTGGTAACTCGTGTGTTACTGCTTTCTCCCTTTGTTGTAGTTTATATTTCCTTAGCCTCTTGTTTTCAGTGTTTCCTTTGAAGAATTGTAGAGCCATGTCTAAACATTTCAATTGTGATTTCAAATTATTAATTTTATTGTTTTTATATAGTCAATATATTACTATAATTCATACACAGACATTAAGTACTGTATTTATTTAACAAATTTTTAGCCAATAAGGTGACTTGGAATGTTTTGAGACTTTCTTTTTGTAAAGAGAACTTCAATGAACAACTGGAAATTTTTTTTTTCTTTTCCTAGGATTTGCTTACAAGACACAAGTTGCTCAGTGCAGAATTTTTGGAACAGCATTATGATAGAGTAAGTATATGAAATATTGCACCAGAATATTTAATCTGCATATCTAATGTTCGTAAACAGTGCTGTGGTTCCTCTGCTGACACAAAACAGAGAGTTACTTGGTCAGAAGCACAACGTGGTCTCTTCTCTTCGCCCATCGCCCTTTCCGTCCTCTTGCAGGAAAGCAGAATACTGCAAAAATGCAGAACAAATCTGTGTGACCAGTAGGAAAGAGGTTCTTGCTGCTGAGTGTAATGCAGTGAGATGGTAATACAGTGGGAAGAGTTACTGCCTGACTTTCACACTGTCCTTCCTTCCCACCAGTGGCTGCCTACACATAGCAAGGGAGGCAGCGGCTGAGAGGAGAGAACCGCGTGAGGAGCAGAGGACGGGCAGGCCCTGCACTGCCCCAAGCCTCCCTGCTAAGGCCTTTGAGGGCTGCAGCTCTGGCCCCAACCAGCACTGCCACTGGGCACCACAGAGGTCCTCCCTTCCTGTGAAATGAGATCAGTGCTTAGTCTGACCACGAGTCTCTCCTGCCCCGAGTCAGAGTCAGTGTCCTGCATGATAGTGGGCCTGAGGACTGCGGCGTCCCACGTCCTCCTCCACCGATAGGGCCCTGCTTTCCACCAGAGGGGTCCCTGTCACACCCCAGTGCTCCCCAATGCCACAGCAGTTTAACTATACCTCATCCAAGATTAGAGGCCTCACAATCCACTAGAATCCTTAGCTCCCACAAAACGTGCTTAGGTCTTAATTCTTCCACTAGTGACTTGTGTCTTTGGAATCTTAAGTATTATTAATATTTTATTGTCTTCTTTGCTGTTCAATTATGTTTGGAGATTCTAGAAAACAGAGTCCCTGCTTCCTTGTTCTTTGGTGTCTCTGTGCCCAGACCCCTTCCCATCCCGGCAGTGTCCTCACACTGTGGTACACACTGAGCCTCTCAGGAGCAGCCTCACCGGGGCTTCTGCACCTCTGTTCTTTCATCTCTGACCGCGAATGAGTTCCTTGTGTATTCTGTCAGCTCCAAGGGGCAGCACTGTCATTTCCTCAGCCTCCTTACAAGAGCAGACCCATGGGCTTTAGCATCTGGCTGTGCCCCAAAGAGACTTGGGGCAGCTTCCAGTGCTCGCACACCCGCCATTCCTGCAAGGTACCCTACCCAGGACCAGTCCCTGCCATGGGGATTGTGAAGATAGACTGCATAACTGGGCGTGTTGTCGCACACCTGTAATCCCAACACTTGGGAGGGTGAGGCAGGAGGATCATGAGTTCCAGTTGGAGACCAGCCTGGGTGGGCTACATAAGCAAGTTCAAGGCCAGCCTGCACTCTGTAGAGAGACTGGCTTTTAAAAAAAAAAAAAAATGGTTCACTACAAGCAGTGAAACAGTTTCCTACATGTTACTGGTGAATAACAGTGGTTAATAGGATTTTAGAAAACCAACATGAGTTACTCAGCAGAAATGTGTACAGTGTAAGAGATCTGAAGGGGAAGGAAAATTAATAAGGTCAAAATTGAGGGGCTTGCATATAAATGCATAATGTAGTAATATCCAAAACACTCCAGGGATTGCGGCGCATACCTTAATCTTCAGCATGCTGGAAGGATGAGGCAGAAAGATTGCAACCTCAAGTTTAGCCTGGGCAATTTAGCAAGTCTCAAATTTTTAAAAACTTAAAAGCAGTATAAGGATGTAAGTCAGTGTGAAGGCCCTGGGTTCAGTTACCAGTACAGTACTGAACAAATTTAAAAGACCCAAATACTCTGGCTCCAAATCACCTAATAACCAAAGCATGGAAGAAACTAAAATCAGTGAAAACATTTTAACATTTGTAAAGTAAAATATACAATAAAGTCTTGGTTTGCAGCATAATTTGTTCCAGAAACATGCTTGTAATACAAAGCATTTGTGTATCTTTTTTTTTTAATTTAGAGACAGTCTAATCTTGAACTCTCTGCTGCAGCCCTCCTGCCTCAGCCTCCCAAGTGCTGAGTTGACAGGCATGCGCCATCACACCTGGCCAAAGCATTTGTTTATCAAAGTGAATCTTACCCTTAATACAGGTTCCTCATCTAATGATGTACCTATTTAATGACTATCCAGCCTTAATTGCTGTTTGGACTCATGACCCATCTTTTTTAAATTTCGTACAGTTCTGTATATCTTACTTATAAAACCTACATGTCTTTCTTGTACAGTACAACTTGTTTATACAGTACTATAATTTTTCTTGATTGCACTGTACAGTATAATACTACAGTTTTATGTTGTCATACACCACAGTTCTGCATGTAAGTTATGCAAATAAAAGCAAAGTCATCAAGTTGGAGTTTCCTTTGACCATTTCTTTGTTTTGATTCTTGTAATGCATATACTGTACAATTCCTCATTTAGCACAGCCAGTTCATTTAAGGATCTTGTCTCCAGTTCCCAGAACTAAAAATAAAAATTAAAAAAGGACCAGGGTGTTTAGCTCAGTGGTATAAGCACCTGCCTGGCAAGCGCAAGGTCATGAGCTCGACCCCCAGCATAAAACATAAAATTAAAAAAGGACCTGTCATTACAGGAACATAACTCAGTCATTAAATAAGGATGCCTGTAATGGAAACTCAGATGACATGTTCCACAACACAAAAATACTTAGGAAAATGATTACAATGTCATAATATGACACAAAGTAATGAAATAGGGCCTGGGGTTTAGCTTAGCAGTGTAAGCGCCTGCCCTGGCAAACGCAAGGTCGTGAGTTTGATCCCTGGTACCCAAAAAAAACCCAAAAAAGTAATAAAATATGAAGCAAAATAAATTAACCAGCATTTAGTGTTGAAAACCTTGGCTGCCGTGAAGGAGTGTTGGTGGGGGCCTTGAGAAGACAACTTTCACTACTGTGTCTACTAGGATTGCTGCTGTTTGTCAGCTCCATGAGATCGTTTCTTTTCCTCCAACTGTAACAAGGAACCTGTCCAATAAGCCTTACTTTTGCTCCTTGTGAGAGTTTCGTGGAAAAGCGACATTGCACTGGTTAAACACACTCCTCATGCCCACACTGCAGCCTGGCTCGGCCCTGGGTGGCACTTTTCTACACAATCTGGCGCTGTTTCCCACATAACACACCTGCTAGTTACAGTTGAAGTGAGAGATTCCTCTGCCTTTTTCTCCTCCTCTGCAGACAGGATCTCTGTAACATCTTGCTATTGGGAGTGGATCACCCCCAACCCCACAGAGAGAGTGGCGGGAGCAGCTGTTGGCTCACTTGTGATCATGTGGTGCTCAGTGTCCTCTGCTTGTGTTGTGAACCACTGCCCATTCATCTTGTTAGGCCCCAATAGACGTGTTTGCCATCTGTGGAGTGCTCACCGAGCAAGTCACTTGCAGTCCAGGGTTTCACTGTGTTCGGCTGCTCAGAGGTAGCCTATTCCATCCCTGGGCTGAAACCAGCCGAGACCCACCCCAGTCTTAAGCCAGATGTGCAGCACCGGAAGTGAACAGCAGGTGCAAGTGTAAATGGCACTCAATAGAGGACAGCCTGAGAACGAGCCTTGAAGGGCCCAGGTGAGGTTCGGGAAGTGTCCAGCACTGTTAACCTGCCCTTTGCCCCAATCCAAAGAGAAAAGTGCAGCCTGTCTGGAGGAAGGCTGGACTGCAGACACATTCCTCAGCAGGTGCCCTCGAACATAAGTTCTCACCACCAAGTTTGTCTTCAGAATCAAGCAGCAGAAGCCAGGCTCCATGACACACATCTGTAATCCCAGCACTTTGTGAGGCTGAGGCAGGAGGATTGCAAGTACATGTCTCACCTGGCAATGCAGCAAGGCCCTGTTTTAAAAAAAAAAAAAAGGTGGGATGCAGCTCAGTGTGAAGGCTCTGAGTTCTCAGTCCAGCAGGAAACCTTAACTGGCGTTTTCTGTCAAGAAGTTGGGGATAACGTATTTTGTGTGACTGCTTCAAAGGCAGATCCAGCTGTTTGATCATCAGTTTGGTGATGGTATGGGGAGAAAGCAGGGTCCACAGGCTTACCCCGAAAAGAACAATGAACTTGCTGGCACGCAGAGTAGGTAGTCACACCCACTCTGCCTCAGGCAGCAACTAGGAGAGCACAGGTCATTAGCCTGGCCAGCGGGCCGGACAGTAAACATTTGAGACTGTGGGCTGCATGGCCTGCCAGCTCCTGTCCATAGTACTGCGAAGCTTCCGTTAGCAATGCATAAGTCCATAAGCGGCTCAGTTCACAGTCAATGAGTGAGCAGGACTGGGGTCAGTAAAATTCTGCTTATAAAAACAGGCGGCCAGCAGCTTTGGCCCCTGGGCCTTGATTTGCCCACCCTGCTCTAAGCCAGATGAACGGCTAATGAGAACCCACCCTAAAGCAGAGGCACATGTAGGGATAAACGATGACACAGGAGGCCTCTAGCACAGTGATGGGAAACCTTTCAGAGACACGAGCCCAAGCTGAGACCCAGAAGCTCCTTAATTACTGCAGAAGGGCAGCACTACAGGTAAACCTCAACACTGAAGATTAGTTTTGAGGAAACCACTCACATTAACACCTTTTGTCTTAAAAACAACCTGCATGCCCTAGGATCATCAACCACTGCCCTGGCACCTACCACAACCAGCGACAAGTCAGGAGACAAAACAGAGGTTGTGGACATTCAGAGCATTTTAAACCTATCTTGAGCTAAACAAGCAGAATACAGTGGCCTTGTCTACCAGGAGGCCTTGGCCCCTGTATGCCTGTCAGTTCTGGTTTCCTGCTCAGTCCAAAAAGTGCAGGGCAGAGAGCCCAGGTCTCCCCGGAGCAGCCTTGTGGCCTGCTCGGTAGGATCCTCCCACCCCTCAGCATATACATATGAAGGGCTGTGTCCAGCTCTCAGATCAGAGCACTGCGCATCCCCAGATCATCCCACAGGCTGTGTTCTTCCTTCTGTGTCCCTCCAGAAGTGCTTTTCTCCTCATTTCTAAGCAAAATCACTCTCCCCCAAGTTAGCACTTTCTCTGGCGTCTCCTGTGTAACACGGTGCTGGATTTCTTGTCTCCTAAGTCTCTTATTTGTGTGGTATGAAAAGGAGCCAGTAACTTCTCTTTGTGGTTGACTTTGGACAGATTCAGTTTATGCATAAAAAATAAGAACCCTCTATTTCTAACACCAAGAAAGAAGACTGACTCCACTGTAGGGAAGCCATTGGGGAGGGCTGTGTCTTGTGCATGTATAATCTGGGGTGCTGGGGGCCGGATCCCAGCAGATTCCAAGCCTAACTGGAAGTTGTGGGAATCTGTCAGGCCATCACAGAAGTGGCAGGTAGTGGCACCCAAAAGGAGTTGATGTATTGTCACCCCAGGGCCTCCAGGGCAGGCATGGTGTTAGGGACCTGCCCTCAGGCTCTGTAACTTTGCCAGTCTTTTCTCAGATAACCTGGATGTGTTTTCTTCTCTTAGTTTTTCAGTGAATACGAGAAGCTACTTCATTCAGAAAATTATGTGACAAAGAGACAGTCACTGAAGGTATGACAGATTCCTTTGTTTATTTTGTTTTGTTTTATTTTAAACAGGGTTTTGCTATGTGGTCTAAGCTGGCCCTGAAACACTGTGAAGCCCAGAGTGATCTTCCTGCCTCAACCTCCCAAATTCTGGGATTATAAGTGTGGCCTGCCACACCCAGCTCTGACAGATTCTTGTGTCATTTTCTCTCTTTACACTGGGTTTTTGAAGTTTGGATTTGGGGAAAGAAAGATGTGCTACAGCAAGTTACAGGACTTTGGAGAAAAATACATCCGTCCCCGATGGGGATTTTTACAGAAAAGCGTGGCGCTTAGGCTCAGGCAGTGGTCCATGTGGAGACCTGCCTGCTTCCTTGTAAGGCAGGGACCCACGAGGGAGTGCACAAAAATTTGAAGAGAACTTCACAGTGTAGATTTTAAAGCCCGGGCTGGAGATTTAGCTCAGCGGCATAAGCGCCTGCCTTGCAAGTGTGTGGTCGTGAGTTCAATCCCCGTTACTGATAAAAAAGAAAAAGACAAAAACTAAACTAAGATAAAATAAAAAGTAAAAATAAAATTTAGAATTTCGCCATCTGGACTAAGGTGGTCTAGGTGCTGTGTGCCTTGAGGCTGCTGCCACAGGGACGACAAGTGACCTGGCCACACTCTGGTGCTTTGTATCAGGACAGGATGTGGCAGTTCCAGTTCAAACTTTAAAACATTAAATTCTAGAACACAGGTTGGCAGACGGTAGCCCGTGCACTGAGTCCAGCTGCTGCCTGTGTTGTAAGTAAAGGTCTGAAGGCCAGGTGCATGTGGTTAGGGCTGCTTCCAGGTGCAGTGGTGATCGGAATAGCCGGCCCGACGCCGTGTGGCCTGCAGAATCTAAAAGGTTATTGCTTGGCACTTACAGAGAAAGCTTGCTGCCCTTGCTCCAGAAAATTCTCACATCAGCTCATAGTGTATAGCCGTGCCCTTCTGCGTCTGTCAGTAAGTGGTCCTGACCAGGACTGCTGTACAGATGGAATCACCAAGACCCGGGGAGGCTGTCATTGCATTGGAATGTTTGTCAGGCCCACTTTTAAGTTCAGGTCTGCCCCGAGGTCTACCCTCTGAATTCATATTGATAAAGACTCCATTTTTTTCTCCCCCTTCCAGCCATGGGGAAATGTCACCTGAAGACCGTATCTGTGGGAAGATACGAAGGACATGTGGAGCATGTGTCATGCTTTGTGTCCTTTGATAAGAATGCTCTCTGCCCTGCAGATACCAGTGGAACCCTTCCATCTACCAGCTGCTTCCTTCTTTTCCTTAAGGCTGTAACTGCTGCAGTCAGGGAACAGTGACAGCCCCACTCGGGGACACGGCACTACTGCAGTCGTCAGGCAGGCCCAGCGCTTCCTGTGCACTGCCGTGACAGAAGCTGCCCTCCCCGCAGCCTCGTGGCCTCATCCAGGCTCCCGTGGTGTGGTTAGATGATCAGTCCCTACACTTCTGCCTGCTGAGGGTGACCACTCTGTTCTTTAGAGTTCAGAGCAGCTTGTGGCAGCCCTTGGAGCTGCTGTTCCTGAGTTGTTAGTGCAATAGGATGGAGACCCCTGTCTGTCCTCCTCTGCCATCCTTAAGGGGTCAAGACCGTCCTCTCCAAGGGTCACATATGCTGCACAGCTCCAAGGAGTCTAAGGCAGATGGGAGACTAGAGGAGAATAGGTTCAGGCCCTGTCCTCTTCGCTGGGGCAGAGGAGATATATTGACACACAGTGACCTTTGACAGAGCTTTGCACTCCTCACCAGCTTAGATGAGGAGCAAGAAAGAGAGCCTTTTGCTGTTCAGAACTACCCGTATAGAAAGGAAGCTAGGGACTGCCCTTCCTAGGCCGTTAGTGGTGGAACCAGAGCGGACAGCTCATTCCTGCGGCTCGTTCACTGCGCAGACCACGCTGAATGTGTCACGAACACGGAGCAGGGGTACTTTAAAGATAAATTGCAGTTTGTACTCTTTCTGGCAGCTGTGTTGGCCTTTATTTTTCTGATGTTTATCTTGCCAGCATATTTGTATTTTCTTTGTAAGACTTCAGGATTTTCATTTTTATGTCTGAAGAAATTTAAGAGTTAACTGCTGTCTTCCCTCAGATAACTGAAGCCCTTTTCAGCTTCTCTTTGGTTTCTTTGGTTGAGCACCACGAAAACTATAAACATTTACATAATACTAACTTTTGAGTCTTCATAAAAGCATATACAGATTGCTTTCCACTTGGAAATTGTACATTTTGTGATTCAGATTGATAACGAAGTCTAAGTTTTTAAGTTGTTACTATAAATTTTTTATAAACCTCAAGTAGAATAGATTCTTACACATGAGACTGTTTTATGTGCTATGATGATGAGTTACTTCCCTAGAGATGAGGTATCTAGAAACGTCATGGCTCTTGGACACAGGCAGGAGCCAGGAGAGAAGCCCAGAGCAAGAGCACTGCGTGTGCGTCTTCCTCCTAGAGGCCCCGTCCATGTGTCAGCACTCACGCACACTCCATGCCCTGTGCTGCCCACCACTCCTGAGGCGCAGACACTGTCCCCCACCCCCAGCCCACTCCCACCACTTAGATGCTAAGACAAGCACAGTGTGTGAGCGCTTCACCAAGGCTCCAGCACACAGGCATGGGGACCAGCCCCTCACAGGTTCTGCCCCTGTGCCACAGTGAGGAGGGGGCTCTGCATGGCTCCCCAGGACACAGGGCCTGTACATTGGGCACTGAACTGTAGCTAGAGGTGGCACCTGGACAGCCTAGAGCAAAATGTAGACCAAGTGATGGTAGCCAGGCGTGGTGGTGCACACCTGTAACCCCAGCACACGGGAGGCTGAGGGAAGGTGATTGCTATGAGCTCCAGGCCTGGCTGACCTACACAGAAAGACCCTCTTTCAAAAAAAAAAGGAATAAGCAGTGTGACAACTTGAGCACTGCAGGCTTCTGTGATATGATCAGCTCTGCGTAAGTCAGCCGGCCCTGAACTAGGGGGGTTCAGCTCACGGACACCTGGGTGGCGAGGAGACTTATCTGTGGGAGCCTTGCTGACAGCCAAGGCGTGCATCTGCTATGGGCCTTGCCCATGTTACAGTGGCTAATGGCTGTGGCGTGTGGCGGGGTCGGGGTGTGGAGAGCTGGTTAGGAAGCCCTTTATCCCTTCATGGTCTACTAAGTACAATTTGAAACAAATGAAATATGTCAGATGACGCTAAGGCTACTTAACAAGAATGACAGTAACTTTTCCCCTACATGTGCTCTGGGGTAGTTTCTTCAAGGGTTTGCACAAGTTAAGGAGCAGGCCCTGGGTAGGCACAGTCTTGGGCCCCACATACCCTGTGCGCTCTGGAGACAGCAGCATCCTCTGAGCCTCCAGCCTGACACAGCCCCCTGTTTGGGCTGTCTGTTAGTACCCTGTGCTTACTAGTAACTTTTAAACTAAGAGTTTGCATCTAGCCTTAATAGTCATGTAAGAATGACTGTTTAAATGTCTTCTCAGCTTCTCGGTGAACTACTGTTAGACAGACACAACTTCACAATTATGACGAAATACATCAGTAAACCTGAGAACCTGAAACTAATGATGAACCTTCTACGAGACAAAAGTCGCAACATCCAGTTTGAAGCCTTTCACGTTTTCAAGGTAGAGTGTACAGATCATCAGCAGTATCGTCCTCCAGCCTGGTCAGTCACTTCATGGTGGTGTGGTGTGACATTTAAACCGAGAGACAGGCTTGGAAACAAGATGCATGTCCTGTTTGGGTTGGGAGCAAGTGTGTACCAAGAGTGTTGTTTAGCTCAGCGGCCAGTGCCTGCCTGGCAAGTGCAAGGTCCAGAGTTCAATTCCTGGTACCAGAAAAATAATAATAATAATTTTTTAAAAAGTGTTGTTGAGGTAGTTCTCCTACCTCAGCTTCCTGAGTGCTGGGATTCCAGGCATGTGCAAAGTTTTTATTCTTAAAATCCAGTCAGACTTGCTGTGGCCACACACTATTTCCTCTCACATTATGGGCACTAAGCATTGCACTTGGAGGCTGGTGAGGTGAGCCGCAGTCCCTTGCAGTGCCCGGCGCCTGTTCTCTCCACCTCAGATAAAACAAGCCCTCTGAAGCCTGAGCCCCGCCTTCAGTGGCCTTGGCACTCGTGGGGCACAGGCTCCTGGTGACCCCACCTTTTCCTCCCCGTGCTGCAGGTGTTCGTGGCCAACCCCAACAAGACGCAGCCCATCCTGGACATCCTCCTCAAGAACCAGACCAAGCTCATCGAGTTTCTCAGCAAGTTCCAGAACGACAGGACCGAGGACGAGCAGTTCAACGATGAGAAGACCTACCTAGTTAAACAGATCAGGGATTTGAAGAGACCGGCTCAGCAGGAAGCCTAATTTCCAATAAACACCTCCAGTGTCAAACCCAGATTCAGCTTCTGCTGTTAGCTGTTCAGCATCAGGCACCCTTACCAGTTCATGAGGAACTTTACTGCTAATCTGCTGTTAATGAACGGTTTTCATTTTACCATTTTGTGTTTCGGTCCAGGTTGGAGAAAGTAGCTGCTGCCGCTTGCACACTAGAGCCACGGGCTTCCTCTTGATCTTTGTGTTGTTTCCGAGTTAATGGACTCCGCGCTGGGAGTTCTGCCGTGGGGCACGTGGTGGGATGGAGGGTGAGTGTGGGTGGGGCGGGGGCGTTGTGGGACAGGACAGGACAGGACAGGACAGCGTGCTTCGGCTTTGTGCCCTTGGGGGGACCCATCCGTGCTCCCGCAGACCCCTTGCCTTCTCCAGAGGAGCTGCACCAACCCAGAGGGGCCGCTGTCTGCAACGCGAGCTTTGGGCAGGATAGAAAGCTGACATGCAAATAAATTGATTTCCTAAACTTACAAACTTCTCAAGGGTGTGAAGCTTAATAAGATCATAAGGAAAATGTATATATGCTTTTCACAGCTTTCTAGAACTTTCTGACGTTTGATTTTCTTGAGACTTGTAAACCTGGATATGTTGAAGGGTATTTGTTAATTTTACTTTTCCAAGGTATTTTAAAGCAGTAGAGCTAGCGAAGACACCTTGCATTTCATTTCAACACTGCTTACAGGTTTCTTTTGTATATAATTCTTAGGATGCTCATTTCTTTTAAAAGATTTAATTTGTACAGCAGAGGAATGTTATTGTAGTAGTATGTAACTATTACCTAATACTGAGTTTTTGCAAAAAAAGAAAAAAAGAATGCTCATATGTAATTGAAATACTTCAGATCACATGAAAATGCTGATTTAACATTTAAGGATCACAGCATTAAAAGGAAAAGTAAACCAATCCTTTGTATTCAGTTACCCGATGGGTGCCCATAGTAGGCGGCACCAGGCCTGGGCCTCCGTCCACTCCACTCTCCTGTGTAACCCTGGCCTCACGTGCTGAGGTGGAGTCGCCAGCCGGCCGGATCTGTGGCTGATACAGATCATGCTGAATTAACGCTGATTTGGGGGGTGGGGGGCCTCTAGCGCACCTTTTCTTTCTTGGAGTACGTAATCCATTACAGTAGTTGTGAAACCAATGAATTAAACCTTCACCTTCTCTTAGGAAGAATTCCTAATCCTAGGTGTCCTATGGGGAAATTTATTTTTTTTTAATGTCCTGTTCCTTAATGCTGCAAATTATCAGTATTTATAAAGTACCTGATTTTGCACCACTTTTTCGTTACTGTGACCACGGCAGAACAATGTCTTCTGGACTATATCTGTGTAGTTAGAATGGCATCTGTTCATCTTAGCGATATGAAGATCACAAGTAACACCTTAGTAATCAGAGTTTGCCAGTTTGAATTCAGCATGGCTGTAGCTGATTAAGAAATTTACATAATTATTCTTTGCTAGCCTGTCTCACTAATTGAATTATTTATTGGCCAGTACAATGAGCCTCCCAGCTGATGATCTTTAAGGAACACCAGTTAGGAAACCTCTCCAGAAAACAGATTTTGCTGTGTAATTTAAGTGGCAGTCCACAGTGATTGGTTTTTCTGAAGCTGTCGTCACAGGAATCTTCAGTGAAATAATCCATGTCCCCTACTGGAAGTAGGGAAAGCATTCGATCCCCTCGAGGAGCTCTTCAGCTGGTGGGGGCCAGACTCACCCCATAAGCACGGTGGGCTGTGGTCTGCGCTGTGCTCCGCCCTGCGAGCTCTAGGCCCCTGCGTTGAACCAGCACAGTGAAAGCTGAAGGCGATGAAGGCTGTCTGATCTTTTGTTTTTAAACCAATATGAAAAGATTCCAAATTTGAAAATTGCATTTGAAGTTGTGATCATTTGATATCTTCACATTGCCAAAATCGTTGTGCTGGAAGTCGCTTCTGTTTGTGTTATAAAGGTTAAATTTTACTGAAGTTACTTAATGAGATTTTTTTAAACCCTTTAAAGCAAAAAGTGGGGATGTAAACAATTATTAAAGCATTTCCTTTCTCCTTAGGAAGAGTAAATTTCTTATCAGAATACCTGGCTGGCCCTGTAATTTAAATTAAAATAAAATTTTGGAGAAACAGCAGTGTCCATCTTCCTAGTATCTCAGTAGAATCCATGCCGCTGAAGAGCCCCCTCGGGAGGCCAAGCCGAGCTGGCTCGTAGGGGACAGTGCTTCGGCGTCTCTTAGCACCTGAGACCGTGCTCAGAGTCCATGCAGTTCCCGTGTCCCGTCACTGACCCGGAGCCACGCCTGCTGTGGCAGCTGCCACCCCACAGTGGCCCCACAGCCCGGGAGCCAGAAGGGGCCGGCGCTGAGTGGGAAGGGAGAGCGGGTGGCAGAGGCGTCCGGCCCAGGACCCTGCACGTCCCTCCCCGCCCATCAGTGAGCTGGAGACCCGGACGTGCCCTGGCTATGGGCCGTGAGCTCTCGCTCTCTGAAGCACCACGGGAGCCCCGGAGCCTGTGCCGGGGTATGCCCCATGGGGTCCCCCCTTCTTGCTGCAGAGCTGCAGACTAGATTGGGCTGCTCCCCGCACCAAACTGACATCCCGGCCTGCGTGGGGGCACCAGCAGGGCAGACCCCAAGGCCAGATGACCACCCCGGGGCTGCCGCCATCCCAGGTGTCTTCTCCGCCATCGGGTTCCCAGAGCTGGACAGCGAGGTGCGCCCCAAGCCACGCGGCCTTCTCCAAACCTGCTGGACCTCACCCAGACGCCTCGCGAGCAGCCTGCGCTCCCCCACCCCAGCCTTCCGCCTCGGGTCTCCTGCGGCTTCCACGCGCGTCTCCCCAAGTCCAATCACCCAGACCTACAAACTCTTAATATGGGCCCAGCGTCGGGCCTCCAGGGAGAGTGACGCTGCACATGGCGGTGTCACTTCTCTTCCAGCTCGGTGGAACCACGCTCCCTGGGCAATCCATGTTTGCCACCTAAACTTTGGTGTTCAGGGACAATAACCAGCTGGCACCGGTTCCTGGCCAGGGCTTCCACAAGGCGCACATGCCTGCTGGCTGGTTCCTGCCTTAGGCTGAAGCTTGAGGTTCCCTGGCACCCCGGAACTGCCCCACGCTGGAGGCAAAGGGCCTTCCCCGGAAATGCTGCCACACACACCTCACTGCACACCCCAGACCTCGACCCCTGCCCTCCTAACCAAGTTCTCATCCCGAACAGAGGTGAGCGTTCTGCACTCAGCCTAACCCAGGCAGCTCGCTCTCCTGCAGCGCAATCTGTCACCCACACACTAGCAGGACAGCTGGTGTCCCCTGCTTCTGCTCACCGTGATCGCCTGTGTCCCTGCCTCGGCAGTCCCCTCTGGACCCAAGGGAGGGAGGCCCATCTGTCAGCAGAAGCAGCCCTCCTCCCGAGGGGAGGACAGTGGCGCAGGAGCAGTGTTCCCCAGGCAGGGTCCAGAAAAGCTTTCATTTCACATCTGCTAAACCAGGGTTTCCTGAGCTGGAGCCCCAAGCAAGCCTCCTCCCTGGGTCAGCTTGTGGGGCTAGCCCGCCTGCCGCCAGCTCCTTGTGTTCCTTCTGCTGGGTGGCCATCCCTGTGGGCAGAGGCTGGAGGCAGCAAATCTAGGGGACACAGTGCCAGAGGTGTGAGTGCCAGAGCACAACACGGGGAAAGGCCTGGCACAGCAAGGCTGATGCCAGCCCCAGCCTGTTTCTACTGGTCCAGGACTTCCTGAGGCCCAGAGATGCCTGTTGCCTGCTACCAAGCCTCACTCAGCCAAAGCCCCCAGATTCACCTTTCAGAATCCGCAGGGCAGAGCACACCTAACTCAGCTGGCAAAGTGTCACGCTAACAAAACTGAGAAAGACCCAGTTCTCTTACACTCTGCTCCCCTAAAGAATAACTTTTCTGGAAGGCATAGGATGGCCTTACCGGTGGGTTGGAGAATTAGAGAATGGGTACCTTGGGGAAGAGCTTGACCAGATCCCTGGGGAGCCTCAGTCTGTCCTCCACCCCATCCTCCAAGTCCATCCCTTCTCCAGCCAATTTGTGCCCATATTTTTTCAAATTTTATTGCATTTTTTTATTATATAGTAGATACATTCAGTGTGAGGAAACTGATACACATGTATGGCACCCCTTGATCCTTTTTTCTACCCCTGTCCTGGCTCCCCAATCCACATCCCTCTCAACGTTTCAAAGAACCAACTTTTTTTTGCCTTCAGGTTGGCCTCGAACTCCAGCCTCAATCTCCCCAGTGCTAGGATTACAGGAGCACACCACCACGCCCAGCCAGAACCAACTCTAGTTCATTGGTCCTTTGGGTTCTTGTCTTGTGTTACTGTTTTCTGTCTCGATTTCTCTAATTACTATTCTGATCTTTATAATTTCTTTCCTACTATTAGTTTCAGATTTGGATTGTTCTCTCCAGAACCTTGAGATCCATCATTAGGTTACTTATTTGGGGTTGGCTGGTTTTTTGTTCGTGCATTTACAGTGCTAATTTCCCCTCTTCAGATTGATTTCATTGTACCCCTGCATGTGGTGTGGTGTTTTCATTTGATTCAGAAAACTTTTCATTTCTCCCTGATTTCTTCTGTGATCCACTGACTATTCCATGTTCTTTAATCTCCGTGTGTTGGAGTGGTTTCTATGGATTCTTTTGCTGTTGATTTCTTCTTTCATTCTACTATGATATGCAGAGAATTGGTTTAATATTTTGCATTTATACAATCATGTTTGTTGATGGTCTAAGACAGGCTGCTTTGGAAAAACAGTCATAGTTTACATGTCCACTGGGGGGCGATAGAGTCCCCTGGTTTAAAGGCTGCTGCTGAGGCTGTGGGACAAGCCTTCTCAGCAAACTAGGATAGGACCCCGCAGTGAGTTCAAGGCTACCCTAGACCACATGGCGAGAGCCTGGCTTAGAAATACATAATAAGTTAAATAAATAAGAAATAAGTTAAATAAATATCAAAGGGAAAGACATTGGCCAGGCCCACTGTTCTTGTCGCCTACCCCCTGCCCTGAGGCTGCCCGCTGGCTGGGACAGGCAGGTTCCCAGGTTCGGGCGGCACATCCTTGGTTTCCTCCTAGGTCAGCTGTGGCCACAGGCCCTGACCCCACCCCCACCCCACCCCTTTAGTGGCTTTGGGGCGGCTGGGGCCAGCTAGTGGGGGTAACACTCTGGACCACCCTGCGTGGATACACGGTTCTCAATGGGGCAGCAGTGCAGGGGAGCCGGGACCAGACCCAGGCCCCCAAACTCAGGGGAGGGACACGGTGCTAGTGTCCCAGGGTTCCATTGGGGGGGTCCACGCAAGGAGGGGCAACCTGGTCGCTGCAGGGTCTGAAAATTCCTGCCCTAGTATAAATTACTGCGCGGTTATGGCGGAGGTCTGACATGGCAGAAGGCCAAAGCGGGGATGCCTACCACTTCTTGCTTCTTCTTTAGCCCTAATTGGAACTCCGCTTCCTATTTGTGCATGGAGAAAACTCTAATCAACTCCTCACGCTTCATCAATGCCCTCCCTAAGCACCACCCCTATCTTCCATACCCCACGTTCTGGCAGAGAAAGCCAGGCCTCTGGTAGTCATGGACTTCTCTCCATGTCCTTGGAATAAAAGCTATTTTTTTACTTTATATTCTCTTTTACGTGCCAAAACCTCTTTCATAATGGTGCCTCAATTCATATGGCAGAATGAGTGGCTCCTGGGAATCCCAGTTTGACCTCCCCTGCCTAAGGACCACCTTTTTCTTCCTCTGGGACTGTTTACTTGTCACCACTCATCTGCATGCAAAGCGACCTTCCTCACTGAACACAGGTGAGCTGCCATCCCGGGTTCTGTTCCTAATTTGCAAGCTTGAGGCAGAAAATCTATCCTGCCATCCTGGAACAAGGATACCAGTTTTCATGCTCCTTAGGCCACACTGCTTGAGCAAAACTGCTGTTTTTGTTCCCTGACACCCCACCCCGCACTCTTTGGTGGCCGAGGAGAATGGTGTTGGGATTTTCCATGTCACACTTTCAAAACTGGTGACGACCTCTTTTAATAGGTGTGACCCAGGACAGCTTCCACATTCCTGGGGGGGAGCTAAGGCTCTTACATTCCAAGGCAAAGTTGTTCTCTCAGCTCACTTATAACTCAGTCATGGGAACCATTTCCTGTCCCCCAAAAGACACACCTCTGGGGTGCCTGGTTCATAACCTTGGTGCTCTTGGCCTCTAGAAGGCTATAAAAACCAAAAAGCTGGTCTTTTATTTATGCTTTTGTCACAATGGCATCAAGTTGGCAGAAACCCTTCATCTTTAGGCCTTTTTCACTTTAAGGACGTATCCTTCTCTCACTCTGTCTTACATGGCTCTGCTCCACCCTCCTTAGATGATGCATCTCTCTCCTTCCTCTGCCTTGCCAGCATTCCAGCGAGCCGAGTGGTTCTCAGCATCCATCTTGATGGAGCTCACATGGAAGACAGCCACCATCGTGCGGCCCTCCACCACGTGACAGGGCACCACTATCTTGTGATGGGTCTCAGGATCAATGGCCGCCAGCTTGTGGCCTCTCATGTGATGAGCAGCAGCCATCTTGCTGCAGGTCACATGATGACCAGTCGCCATCTTGCGCTCCCTCACTGTGTTACTGGCAGCAACTAGGCTGCTTCAGGTCACATGGTGACCCACCAACAGCCTATGTTTCCGTATCGCATGGTGACAAGCAGCCATTTTGTAGCCAGTCATTGGGTACTTGCCCACACATGCCTGCTGGATGTTGGCCACTCGGTGGCCATCTACTCCACAGCCTTCTCAGCCTCAGTCTCTGCTCCCACTTTGGGAACAGGCTGAGCCTGAGGGATCAGGTAATATCCACCTTCCTTTTTTCCTCTCTGATCTTTTCTGGTATTCTTATTTCTGACCTATTCTAGTATACTTATTCCTTCCTTTTCTGGTATTCTTATTTCAAGAAATCTCCATTAATTGATCTACAAAAAAGTTCACACTATTCTATTTATTATAGTTCAAATTGGCCAAATATATTTGAGTTCACTCTGATTTTATACGATGATTTTCAGTCTATATATCTGTTGTCTGTTCATTTGTCTGCTCTGTAAACAGCTGTTCCTTTTTA